GCCGAAATGAAACTCTGGGACGGAGTCGAGGGCCAAACTTAATATTTTTTGAAAAAGTGACGGCAAATTTGCACATTTTCTTTATCAACATATATGCAATTTTGAAACTTCTAATTAGGAAACAAACTTATTTTTGCATTAACACTGAATGTGGAATAACCAAATTACACACGAGCAAGTCAGTTTTAAATAAAAGGCATCAGTGGTGTTCATTACTTGTGGTATAATCAGCATTTTTTAAATCTATTCAGGATTTATGTTTTCTTGTTTATTCATTTTTCATATTTTGTATTCTTTTTTCTCCTGTAATAAGTGTCATCGCTGCTGTGACGTCTAGCTTTCCCCACTGAGGAACAATAAAGGGATTTTCTATTCTATTCATCTATCTGCAGCCTTTCCACTTCCTGTTTACTGTAGGTTAAATCTTTTCTCACGGGCCAACAACAAAATAAAAATATCATTTTATCTTAAATGAAAATACAACATCTCACTCGTTAACTTTCATGTTTTGGAGCAGAAAAAGAGCATAAAACCAACATATTTAAAGCTCAGTTTGCTCCACTGGTTTACTGTGATGCTCACCTGTTCCAGCCAGATACCTCCATCATGAGGTTGATCTGAGCTGAGGAGACTCCTGTTGTTTTGTTCATCTTCATCATAATAATGACAACATTAGATGACAACAGGTGCTCACATAGGTTTGTGCTGATGAACATGTCTGAGCAGCTTGACCACGTTGTTGTGTGTCGGGGAGGAAACACGACAGCAGCCACAGAGTCATGCTGGTTTGAGCGTGTCGCTGCTCGCTGGAGTTATATCAGCTCTGTCTGGACGTTAGTTGGAAAACTTTCTCTTTCAGTCGTGAACACATTACTGAGCGGCTAGAATCTCCGTTTCTGGGCTTCAACGTCAGAAAACAGCTGAGTAAACTTGGCGCTGCAGACACCGGCAGCAGGCGCTGGAAAAAAAACAGAGGGGGCACGTCGGCTCTGCGCTGATGCCACAAAGCATAATGGGAGTTGAAGTCTTTACGGTAAAATCGGCCAGCGGGCCAGTTTTAATATTTTTTTGAAATTTATCTCACGGGCCACATAAAAATGCTCCGCGGGCCGCATCTGGCCCGCGGGCCTTGTGTCTGACATATGTGCTGTAGAGTTAATCTGTACACTGAAATCACCTCTGTTGCTATGCAGTGGAGATTCCGAAAAATGACCAGATTAACCTATGAAGCTTATATCATATATATATAAATATCCCGGATGCATATATATCGATCTACGTTCATACATCAACCTGTTTGATCTGATTTTACTCCACAGATTAATGTTTAATTTAGATAATTAAATTTAATAGCAAAAGTTATTCTAAATCAGAAGCTAGGATCTTTGCTTTCAAATAACCAGAAATATTGTACCTTTTCTGTGTTTTGTTTCAATAATGAGGCAAGTTTAAAAATTAAGAAATTTTATTACTAACAATTTTAAACTGAAAGATTTCAAACGACAATTATAAAATGACAATTCATGGATGACAATTTTATTGACAATTTTTAACAGCTTTGATATTAAACTTGTTTAAAAGCAAACTTGTGACTGAATGGAGCTAAAATGAGAATGGTGAGTTTTGGATGCGTGAATGAAGTTCTCAGAAGGTTACTTTCTGTCATGTTGGGTATATATTTAACCCAGGACATGAAAGAATCACAAGTGGAGACGAGGGTGAGTAGAATGCAAATAAAATTTATTAAGGAACGTGTTGTAAACTTAAAGCGCTGCTCCAAATGAGAACAGGAAGAACCGCGATCTAGAACGAGAAAACAAACGGGAATTAATCTCACAATAAAACAAACCCTGGAACCAGAGAACCAAACAGGAAATGGCTTTAGAAGAGTTTTCTCTTACTGGGAAAGTTAAACTCCTTGTTGAGACTGGGCTGGATGGTGAAGCCAAACGGGAACAGAGAACGAGGCTGAGGATCCAAACTGAGATGCGTGAACAGGAATATGGCAGACAGGAAGGCAGGTATTGCTGTAGATCCGGAGGAGGTTGGTAGGCAGGCAGGTAACAGGTAGGGTGACAGGCGAGCGGCAGAGAGCGAGGAGACCAAGGGACGGTGAGCAACGTGTAGTAGATTTTACAACTCCAGGCAGCGGTGAGTAATCCTGAGTGACAGATGAGTAGAGTTTCAAAACACAAGACCAGGGCTGACAGGAACTGACTGACTAAAACACATGCTGAATATTTGAAGCTTAAACTTGAGACAAAGCTAGTGTTACCCAAAGGCGAGTATCGACCGGCACTGGAATTGTTTCACACCGCTCCTTAAGTACCCCTGGTCCTCTGATCAGGAGATCAGGAGCAGCTGGCTCTCTGACACGCCCACCTGAAAACACAAACTGGGAACAACTGTTGTGCATTATGAGAGCTGATTAGTGAGCAGGGCAGATTGTGACACTTTCAGACAGAATGAAAAGCGTTCTGGATGGAATTGATGTTTTGCGGATAACTGAGTTATTTTGAGAGAAACAGCATCAAACGCATTCTCGTGTTCTACCTCACCCAAACAGGACCCTCTTGTGGATCCGGAGATCAGGAGGATGTGGTTCATCCAAGATAACACTCCGGCTGGTAGAGGAGATGTAAGTGTCCGATCGTCTGGTCCAGATTTTTCCTGGGTACACGGTTTATCAAGCGTTTGGCAGATGGATGCTCTCGTCTTAACTTCAGAAATCAATTACTCTGGTAGAGTCTTCGTTAGGTGGTGACAGTTTTGTTTATTCTTAGCTATTCTGGTCGTTGTGACCGGAACAGCAGGTGGAGGTTAGGGACGGCTGTTCCCTTTCCTCGTGGTGTTGGTTCAAGAACTGAATGTGAATCTGTGATGGTTTTACCAAAAGCTCTCAGACCACTCCCACTCTCTCCGGAAGAAAGCTTGATCATGCGTCACAAACATGTGTTGCAGTTATTATCTGGACTCTGTGTTAGCTGGATAAGGTGAAGGTCTTCTTTGCTGAACACATCTTTATAATCATTATAATAATTATTATTGTACCCAAAGCATAATAATCCATTTCATGTAATTAAAATACCTTTATATTGAACCAAGTGATCATTTTATGATGATTATATTAAACAGTAATAAAATCAATGAGTTTATTAATTATTATCTAATTATTATCATCGTGACTTGCAGTGTCCTTCTGGGACGGAACATGGAGATATGGTGTCATGATCTTGAGCAGACATGTGGCTCCTTGGGTTAATCTGTGGATTCAAAAGTACTGTTTGACCCAGCTTGACCCAGCTGGGCAAATGTGACCTTTGCCACAAATCAGAGAACCTTCATCACTTTACATGACCATCTGTTGATGAGGTCTTACTTGAACACAAAAGTGTTTGCTTGCAATGATTTAGGCGTCTACTGCCCCCTATCACCAGGGAAACTACACACTGTCACTTTAAAGAGCAAGTCACCCCCTAACAGAGTTTTAGTCCACTCCCACCCTCTTTGAAAAATGCAACAAATGCTGTTGTCTGTTAGACCAAGAGGGTGGAGCCGCTAAGAAATACACACACAAACTGGCTCACAATGACATTGTGACTTCATAATGTACCAGCCAACATCATAGAGTACCTCTTAGCTAATAGCGATGGCAGATTTAAATTCAAATGCAGTGCAGAGTTTTTACCTGAATGACAGTTTTAGGCAGAATATTTAAATATCAACTAAGATGCAATAAAGTGCCAAACTATTGACTACACATGTCTACAGCACAATTAGACACTCACTTGTGTAGTTTATCTTAGACACTCACTTGTGTAGTTTATCAGCAAAAAAAGTTGATTTGGGGGTGACTTGCTCTTTAACTAAAAATGTGTTTGTACTTTCAAACGCTCCAAACATGGTTGTCTGAATTATTCCTCTCCTTAAGATGAAAAGGTCATAATGCAGTTTCAATGCAAACAGTTGCAGCTGCTCAGAGCTGAAGTAACAATTATCTCATTTTTAGTGGAGACATACATATCCCTTGTACTAATCTCAAAATATGGTTGACTAAAGCTGTAAATTTGGCTTATTGAAGTGGGTTTTAGCACCTAACTGAGCTTTGTGGGGAAACAAGCAAACAACGAAGTGGAATAATTGAACTGTTTTCATTCAGGCTCATAAAGCCGACCACCCTGGAACTGGTTTCTTAAAGAAGGAGGAGACCTCATTACATCAGCTTACAAAGATTTACATCACACAAAATGTTTTTACTACAATTTAAGATGTGACGAATTGTGTGACACAGTTGTTAACTAGCCAGCAGAGAGAAAGAGACCTGAGTTTTAGGCTGCAAGAGTGTGTACATTTTTCATTCACGTGTGAAACAATTCAGCCCCCTTAATCTTGGTAAATGTAGTCAGAACATCTAGCAGTGGTTCTGAGTTTGTAAATAAACATTTGTTGCTGCATCAGAACATGAATGAACGGATTAGATGTGGACACAAGTCCCTAAAGAAAGAGCCAATCCTGGCCATAAAAAATGATTTTGATGTAATAATATTTCTATTAATTCCCTGCACCATAAACAAAGTAAATCTCCCTGCACGTGACGTCTAAAATAGATCAAACAGTAGTGATGTGAGACAAAAGGATCTCCTCAGAGAGACCGACACATCATTACCGCTATCAGCTTCACAGTGCTCGTCTAAGTCAGGGTTGTGGGGTGAAAACAAAGCCTCTAATTAATCAGAGGTAACATCTGTTTGTTCTCGATGCCTACAAGCTTTTAAACTTGATGCTCACTAATAATTTTAGAAGCATGTGAGCTCATTATGGTAATTGAACTTATTTCACATGAGAACACTTTATATCTCATCCTCACCTTAAGCAATTAAGTAAGACGTTTTCTGCGTGAAAACTCTGCAGAGTAAATTGCTTTGCACAGTTCACTGGTTCACCATTCTAATGCATCAGCTCACCCTGTTTCAAATAATCTGTTTCTTCTGGGTTTTCAGCTGGATCCGGGTGAAGCATTCACCGTCTATCACACCAGTCCTACCCTGTCCAGTCTGTCCAAACCTGTGGTGTTGTGGACGCAACAGGATGTCTGCAAGTGGCTTAAGAAACACTGTCCTCACAACTACCTGACCTACGTAGAAGCATTTTCCCACCACGCCATCACAGGTACAAAATACACAACATGGACACCTGGGTGATAGCTTGAATGTGTACAAAGGAAACTGATGATATGCAACCCTTCAAGAAATGGAAGGTCTTTCCTGTGCCAGTTAATAGATTTAGTGAGAACTTTTCTCAACAAGCAGTCTTAAAGGTGCGTAGCAATTGTTTAACCCTTTCCCAACGTTTAAATTTTCTAACGTTAGTCATTCGAGCACAAAAAAATGCACTTACAAAGCTTCCCATAGAAATATTATATAATATTTAATAAGTCCCAATTTTTTACATGAATTTCATCCTTGGCTTCAGCCCTAATAAAATATGTGTGTTTTTCTCAGATATAACCCCTTTATTGCCAGGTTTATTATCCAAACCAGAAGTTTGAAAACTGTACAAAAAAATGAAAAAATCAAATCAATTTTTGTGTGTTATGTCCAGATGACCTTTTTTGTGGGTAAGTTGTCACAGCCTTGGAGTGTCACAAATAGGCATAAAAATATTTTTTGTTCACATTGTAGTTTTTGTGTGATGTCATATTTTCTTTTCTTTTTTTTTTCTTTTTTCTAACCGTGTTCTGTCTGGCTGTGAAGCAAGCAGAATTGATGTCTGAATGCTGGTAACAAGCCTTACAGATTTATTCTCAGGTGAAGCATCAAAGCGTCTGCTTTAACTGTCACGCCTGATACTTCAAATTTTATTGTTATTGTTTTTGAATGCTTTGTAATTCCGACCAGACACGGAGACAGAGGTGAAAGAGAAAGGAAAAGACAAATCGTGGGAAGCGATCGGGGGGGGGGGGGGGGGGGGGGGGGGATGGTTCCACAAAAATAAACAATAATGAACAAGAGTCTGCTTCTAGACCTGCAGAAAGAGAAGAGCAGAAGAAAATGGGACACACAACAATACATCAGGAGCAAGCTATCACTGTGTCAACGTGATGATGAAATATAAAATCAACATTGTTTAACTGAACAATCACACGATAATAAATCACAGTGCATTTAGTGGCAACGACAGCCTTGAGACAAGTGTTGAACGTGCCCAAGCCCATACTTATGAGAGCACCATGTGAGCACCTGTGTGTGTACACGCGCTTGTTTGTGTAAGGTTTATCTATAGGAGCATCCAATAGAGAGTGTGAGGGACCACAGATGTGCCCCCAAAGATGCGTAGGAGACGGGGGGAGCTCCAAGTCCCAGAGATCCAGGCGCTTCCCCAGAACACAGGAACCCCAAGGGGACTGCAACCAGAAAGGCCCCCCGCCCCCCTCGAGAGATGCAGAGGATCGCCCCGGGGGGGCACAACCAGCAGCCGGCAGAGCCCGGGAGATATCAGCGGCAAGCCCACAGGCCCGCCGCCTCCCACCCCCTAGCCGGCCGAGCCCGGGACCCAGCGACCCGGTACCCAGGGGCGACCACCCCCGCCGAGGACCCAGCAGAGCCCAGGGACCCAGACCCCACCAGGCAGCCACCGGGATTGACCAGGCAGGCGCCAAAGATCTTAAACCCCCTGACCCGGGAGCCACGAACACTCAGGCAGACCAAGGCACCACACCCCAGACCAGGTGTGGCAGGGGGAGGGGAGACGAAGATTTATATCATCAAGTTGTCACAGCCTTGGAGTGTCACAAATAGGCATAAAAATATTTTTTGCTCACTTTGTAGTTTTTGTGTGATGTCATAGTTTCTAAACTACTCGCGTTAAAGTCATTTGAGCACAAAAAATGCACTTACAAAGCTTCCTATAGAAATATTATATCATATTTCATAAGTCCCAATTTTTTTACATGAATTTCATCCTTGGCTTCAGCCCTAACAGAATACAATAAAATAAGTGTGTGTTTCTCAGACATAACCCCTTTATTGCCAGGTTTATTATCAAAACCAGAAGTTTGAAAACTGTGCAAAAAATGAAAAACTCAAATCATTTTTTGTGTCTTATGTCCAGATGACCTTTTTTGTGGTTAAGTTGTCACAGCCTTGGAGTGTCACAAATAGGCATAAAAATGGTTTTTGCTCACTTTGTAGTTTTTGTGTGATGTCATATCTTCTAAACTACTCACGTTAAAGTCATTTGAGCACGAAAAAATGCACTTACAAAGATAGCCAGTTGAACACTTTATTAAAGCACATGAACAAAGAAAAAGTGTGTGTGTGTGTGTGTGTGTGTGTGTGTGTGTGTGTGGGTGTGTGTGTGTGTGTGTGGGGGGGGGGGTGTGGGTGTGTGTGTTTGAGAGAGAAAGAGAGAGAGAGAAAAAAACACATAGGAGGGTGAGCTAACAACTGCAGGTTGAGCACACAACAGTTGAGTGCTCCTTGCACACAGCCTGTCCACATGTTTTGCAAAAGTGCGCATGCACGCTCCTCTTCCCTCTGCAAAAGTGGCATTTTTTCTTTATTGTCTGCTCCCGGGCTGGAGCTGGCTCCGCTTGCTGCTGCACCTGCAACAAAGCTGCAGCGCTGCTGGACCGCGGCAAGCGAGTGCGCCTCGCCTGGGCTGGTCTCACCATGGAGCTCCCAAGCTCCTGCAAGAACAGCCTTCGGCAGATGCTCCTCTTCTGCTGGTTCCAGCCCGGTTCCAGACAGCCACAGGACCAGGGCATTGTAGGCAGTCACATCTAACATGTTGCAGAAGAGCGGCATGGGCCAACGTCTGGTCTTGCGGCGGCAGCTGTATGTTGCAACGAGCTGGAATAAAAATAAATGAACAAATAAATTACATATGCAATTAGGTTGGTGAATTATAATAAAATAAAATAAATAAATTATCTTGTCCAAGTTGTCAACTGCCCCTTTGCAGTGGTTGTAATTGATCAATCAATCAAATCAATCAAATTTTATTTGTAGAGCACCTTCCACAACGTTATCGGAAGCCCAAGGTGCTGAACAGCATCATCATAAGAAAAACATTCCCAGTACATGGGCATAAAAGCAAGATAAAAACATAAAATCATAAAATATCAAGCAAACAATATTACAAATAAAGAGAGATAATGGAATAAGACTAATCGATCAAAAACAAATGGTGGACAAAATAAAATGAAGCATCTGGGTTAAAAAGAAGAAGAATTAAAACCATAATGTCAGGGCAAATCAAAGAACCCTAGCTCTAAAACGCAATCAAATAAAAATGAGTCTTTAAACAAGACTTAAAGACTTGAAGGGATGGTGCCTGCCTAATGCTCAGTGGCAATTCGTTCCACAGAGTTGGAGCCAAAACAGAAAAAGCACGACAACCCCTCGATCGATATTTCGACCGGGGGACCACCAGAAGTTCCTGCTCGGCTGAGCGACGAGACCGAGATGGAGCATACCTCTGCAAAAGTGCAGTAATGTACGAGGGGGCACTGCCCTGGAGTGCCTTATAAACGATAGTTAAGATTTTAAACTTAGCTCAATATTGCACCGGGAGCCAGTGCAGAGCAACCAGCACTGGGGTAATGTGCTCTCGATATCTAGTACCTGTCAGGAACCTAGCCACAGAGTTCTGCACAAACTGGAGCCGTGCAACCGTGCACTGGGCCAGACCAGCATACAGAGCGTTGCAGTAGTCCGGCCGGGACAGGACGAAAGCATGCAACACAGACTCCAGATGAGCTCTGGACAGCAGAGGCCTGATCCTGGATAGTCTTTTCAGGTTAAAGAAACAGGACCTCACCACTGTATTTACATGAGTGTCAAGATTAAGCGATGAGTCGATTTTAATTCCCAAATTACTGACCATTTTCTTTTCATAGGGGGTCAATGGGCCAAGGTCAATATCAGCACCAGAGCCATTTCTTCTGCCAGGACTAAGTATTATGACTTCCGTTTTGCTCTCATTTAGGTGCAAAAAATTAGAAGCCATCTAACATTTTATGTTCTTCACACAATCCAGTAAAGGAGAAACAGATCTATCCTCCCCACGTCGAAGAGGGAGATAGATCTGGCAGTCATCAGCAAAAAAATGAAATTTCATATTATGCTGGCGAAGGAGGACTCCAAGAGGAAGCATATACACTGCAAAGAGGAGAGGGCCAAGGACAGAGCCCTGTGGCACACCCCAACAGAGTTTCTCGCTGGGTGATGTCATCTCACCCATCTGAACACTAAATGTCCTATCTTGAAGGTAGGAGCGAAGCCATTGGAGAGCCTGCCCAGTAATCCCCACCCAATGCTGTAGTCAGTCCAGAAAGACTTCGTGGTCGACTGTATCGAAAGCTGCAGATAAGTCCAGCAATAGTAGAACAACATCGCTGTCCATGTCACAGGCTAAAAACGTGTCATTAAAAACCATTTAAAGAGCAGATTCAGTGCTGTGACCTTTCCTGGACCCTGACTGAAAGGTCTCCCATAAATCATTTGTGTCCATAAAGGCAACCAATTGTGAATAAACGACCTTCTCCAGCAGTTTTGAAAGAAAAGGGAGTTTTGAGATGGGCCTGTAATTAGCTAAGGTTGTCACATCCAGCCCCGTTTTTTTTAACATAGGATGAATAACAGCCTTCTTAAATGAAGACGGAACCATACTAGAAGTAAGACTGCCATTAATGATTGCCAAAAGCAAAGGGCCTATCACTGGAAAGAGTTCTTTATAAATTCTAGGGAACAGCACATCACAAGGAGAGCCAGAAGGTTTAAGCTGAGCGACCAGTATTTCCAAGTCCGATAAGGATACAGTCTCAAATGTTTCCAGTGTAGCCTGGGGCGGCTCTGGGAGTAGGGAGTCAGGTGGTGAGTTTGTAATGGCAGCTCGAATAGCTGTAACCTTATCAACAAAAAAAAAAATGAAGAAAGTCATTACAAGTTTCAACTGTGGGAGGCAAAGAGCTAGAATCAGAGAACTCAAGTAGCAAATTTACAACAGAAAAAAGAGAGCGTGGATCATGAGAACTTTTTTCCACAATATCAGCAAAGAACTTCACCCTTGCTTCCTTAAGAGTTTGCTGATAGCTAAACAAAGATTCTCTGAATATCTCACGAGAGACTTGGAGTCTGTCTTTCTTCCATGTCCTCTCTGCCCTCCTA